TAAAGTAGGTGTTTTCTACTCTACAAAGTCAAGGAGACAAAATTTAGTCACTTTAGGAGCTCGAGTACAAAAAGTACAAAGTGATTTCTTATTGGTAACCTTAGTCAAATCACTAATTTGATAAAAGTATAGTCAAAGTTAATAGTATTTTTTTTTTAAAGAAAATCCATAAAGCAATAAAATACATAAATCACATTAAGTTGTTCAAATATGCAATCCATAAGTATTCGTCATGGGCAAATATATATCTTTATACTATAAAATAAATTAGCATAACGTTAGATAAACCTCCGCCGAATCGGAATTTAAATTTATATAAACTCTGAATTATTATAGATTCGCAAGAGTCTTCAACAAATTTGACCGACTTAACCTCAGCTGTGTGAGTAACGTTAGGCCATTTTTGAGCACATTTTCTGTGTCAAATGAGGTAAGGCCGAGGTCTTGGCAAAAGTGAAATCCGCCAAGGCAAATATGGCACTGAGCTGGCAGAGTTTCCGCGGGAATAAAGCTAACCCAAGCGAGCCCAGCCATATTGATCAGACAACAATTTCTCTTTCAGCGCGCCTGCAGTACTTTTGTGGAAGTGGAACTGGGACTGGGACTGGCATTCGGCAGATTAGCATTCGAGAGCTGTGAAAATGTTTCGTAATATTGTGAATTTTACAAACAAATACAAAATCATTCGGGGCATGATATCATATGGCACCCTCTGGCCCTGCGGATCCCTCATCGAGCAAACTCTGATCGAGAAGAAGACATTCCGAACGTACGACTGGATGAAGTGTCTCAGGTTGTATCCAATCGATCTTGGTCCGATTTGATGGCTAATTGGCCCCGTCATGCTTCTCTTTCCCTCTGCAGGTTCAGCCTATTCGGTTTCTTTTTCATGGGTCCAACCATATATGTGTGGATTCGACTGGCGGGAGTCATGTGGCCACGCACCGATATTAAGTCATCGTTCTGCAAGGCGATCACCGAGCAGACGGCATACGATCCGATGGCCATCAGTTCCTTCCTCTTCTTCATGACCCTGATGGAGGGGAACACATATGCCGAGGCCAGGCGGGAGGTACTAGATTATAGTATTTACTTTTCGATATATAAATACCCCCTTTTATGACGGGTAAAAATCGATCAACTCCACCCAGGTCATGCTAGAATGAATCCCGGAATAGTATAGATCTACAATAACCTTTCATTGATCCCTAGTCGGGAGGAAGTTGACCAGAGTATACAACTCATAACAAAGCAATGGTCTTGATGCAATATTGTGTTGAATAACCCCCTGCAAAGAGTATAAAAAAAGGGAAACTGATCTTTGTAAATACCTGTAGGCAGCCTGCCTTCTCCCAGTTGTGCTCATTACTTTGTGGCCAGTTTTCCATCCGATATCAACTTGTGGTATTTATTTTGGAATTGGGTCTCGGATTTCCACCGGGCTTCTTGCCGCAGTTTCGGTGTGTGGGTTTTGTTTTCGGAAATCCATTTTCTCACGACACCGTGGCGGTATCTGAATCTTTGTATCTGTCTCTCCGTGGCGCAGCATCTGTATCGGCCTCCGTATCTGTATCTGCGACTGCGGCTGTAATGTAAGCATGCATAAATATCACCTGTCTGTCGCCAGCCTCCGTCCCTGCCTCCATATCCATTTCTCCGTCTGGTCCTCCGCTCCGAGTTGTCAGCATTGATTTGTTGGCTCTGCGGCCATACTTTGAGATACTTTGGAACAGTCCGGGGCACTTCGCTCCGGGCTCGAGTTCGGCTCGATGACTGGCCCCCGGCTGACTTCCACATCATTAGAAACCATTTATCTTGATAAATGTAAATGTTTTACCATATATTTGTGTCAAACGTGCGTCGTCTCATTTGCTTTGCATGCGTTCCCCGAAGATCTATGGCCTGACTGGCCCCTGGTCGCTGTGATTGGCTCTGGTTAAAGAGTTATACATATATACTGAGGATGAAGATATTGTCCCCCTGATCCCGCAGTGGGAGAAGGTCTGAAGACTGTGATGATTTCGTAACATTCAAATATTCTACATTTTTGGTAACGAATACTAATGATCATAAAACATTCTCTTTGCATCTAACATGTAGAGTGTTTTAAATAACACATCTTCCAAGGCGAGTTCACTGAGCATTATCCGTGCATTTTCCTACCTACATTTCACAATATTCCATATTCAATCAAACTGTTTAATTTAAATGGAAAAGTTCACTCGATAATTAATAGGCAGACCTCGGAAACTGCCTGCGGCTGACTTTTAGCTCTGGATATCGTTTACACATTCCCACTTGGTTGAGGGCCAAAATGTTGGCAAAAGTGAAAATTTCGTAGCAATGGCGATACCTTTTAATTATCAGAATTAACAAAAACGCCGCGCCCCCAAAAAAGAGAGAGAGAGTAGTCGGGGCAATAAATAAAATTTTAAAAGCCTCCCCGCACCGCATCGGTCGCTTGGCACTTAATTACAATTTTCCGGACTTTCCGGCATTTGCAGCTCCTAGTATTATGTCACCGCACTCACCCCTCCCCCACACCGATGCTCCTCTCGTTCCCAGGTCAGCGATAAATTCCTGGACGCCTACAAGGTGGGCGTTATTTATTGGCCCTGCGTGCAGACGGTGAACTTCGCCTTCGTGCCGGCGCGGAACCAGGTCGTCTTCACCTCCTTCTTCAGCATGTGCTGGACCACTTTCCTGGCCTACGTCAAGTTCCTGCAACTGCATCCGCACGTGGACGTGGACCACCATGCCGTTGACATTCACTTCCTGGAGATGTGAGTCCAGATCCGAGTAGTAAGACGGAGTGCCAGCTAGTTTCCCGATAATGTGATTTCACCTAATTTGTATAATTTACTTATTTTTATTTTATGAGCTCTATGAAAATTATATAAATTTGATAAATAAGTTGATATGCCTGATATCACTGGTTATAGTTGGATTTTATGAAAATGAAGTTGAAAGAACCATCATATACTCCCATAAAATTGTTAACCACAGTAGTTCGATTTTAATAAAATTAAAAGAAATAATAATAATTCAGGGGAAGCGGTTTTTTCTAGATACCGGGGTACAATATTTCCAAATAAAAAACTTTGCCAAGTTTGGCGAACTGTGACTGGCAAAGTTTGTTGCATAAATTGACCCGGATCAGCATTTATCAAAATTAATATTTATTATTTGTGCGCTTCTTTCGCTCTGGGAATGGGGTTCCATTAAAATGCATACGCAACATCTATGCATATTATATATTATATATATATGTCTGAATATCTGCGGACTCGTTGAAGTGGAACTGGTCGGAAGGGCAGAAACCAGGGGGAGCTAAGTGGTCGTGCTGAATGCGAGAACTGAATGCATAAATAATGCCGATTTAGATTATTCTGAAACAGAAACATCATCGCCGAGCTGCGGTCTGCACTCGGAAATTCGCATTCGTATTCGGATTTGGACAAAAATGCCACAGAACAGGGCGCAGACGATGACGAGGCCATAATCAGGCGAATTAATATGGAAATTTATGCAGAGCGAAAAATGAAACCGCAGAGTAAGCCCAGAACACCCATCCGAAGCCAAAACGCATGTGGGTTCTGTTATCAGTCCGGGAAAACGTGGCTCACTTTCTGGCCAAACGAGCGGTTTGGCTGGGCTACACTGCACAGAAACCAAAATATTGGTCAAGTTGGTTAATTGTGCTAAAGTTACTCAAATCACTGCAAATAGCGTAATAGAATGTAAAAATTAGACTGCATTATTCTATTTCTTAAGGATATTTAAGTTTGTGTTATATCTGTCACTGATCTAATTTCACAACATTCTTCTCCGTGTAACCGAACTGTGGAAAAAAAAACAATTGAAACAAGAGTTTCATTTAATTCTGCGTCGGCTGGCAGGCCAATTTCCTATCCGCCCTGCGCCCATTTCTCAGTGTCTTGCCGGGGTCTTTATGCCGCTGCTTTATAGCGCATTAATTTCGAAAGTAGCGCTACGTGTGCCAAAAATCATTAGCAACGGAATTACGCTCAATGAAATGCAGTCGGCGTCGCGTTCCCGGCAAACAAAAGCCGTCCAAGGGGAGATAATAAAGCGTGGCCGGTCTTCGTCCTCGTCCTCGTCCTCCTTCGATGTTGTTGTCGATGATGCCGGAGCCGGGGAAGGAGGGAGGGGAAGCGGCATGAACAGGGGAAAGGTGGAAAATTGCAGTTGGAGGGGGAAAAGTCGACACCCGCCAGCCGGCAGCCGCTTGACGTTAACGTTTCTGCTGCTTATAAATTTACCCTAACGACAAGTTAAATGCTGAATACGAAATGCCGCTGACGGAAGGGTTCCCATCTCGTAACCCTCAGAGATATTCGAACAGAGGCCTAATGTGCTTAATGTCGAAATTTGAAAATGTGGGGAAAGGAAAAGGAAAAGTTAACGTGGAACTTTGAGTGCTTCGACAGAGCAATTAAAATTTAATTATTTACCAAGCCAACACGAAGACTACGAAAACCATTTCTTACCTTTTGCAGTTTGATTGTGAATTTAAAAGCAGTTTATCAATGTGAAACCTTAAACCGTATTGTTCCTAAGTTCAGTATGTTGATTGGTAGTAGAGACACATCTATGTGAAGATATAGCAATAACAGGGAATGTTCTTATAAAACTATAACTACAATTTGCCACATTGTAATTATCCGCACAGTTATTTAATATAACTAGTAGCAAGGGTATCGCCCTGTCTATTTGAACAGGTAACAACGGAGAGATTTGCACGTGTAAATATTGATTTGATTTAATCAGGAGAACATATCAGATCTGAATTTCGGACAGATAGCAACCCAATTCGGAATAGCAAACAGGTTGCGTATCTGAATCTGGCTATGGACTAGCAATCTTATCGCTGGGGAATAAACCATTATTAGATAATAAGCGGAACTAATTCGCTAAATGAAATTATGCAAATGGCGTGTGCAATCAGTTCGATTTGAGGTCGTCAGGTGCGAGTACTTCGCTCTTTCCTATAGATGGTAGCATGTTCAAGTCCAAGTCCTTCGATTTGGTCAACGAGGAGAAGACAAAGAAGCCGGAACGACTGTATCAGCCACGTCGAATGCGATGGCTAAAATACATCATACTGCCAGCCGTTTTCGCATTTGTTCTTCTGTTAATTCTGGTCAATGTGGATTTCTCCGACAACGGTGAGGAAGTGGCCATCAATTCAACGGTCCTAGGGTTGCACTTGGACAGGGAGTACTCCTGGGAGTTGGATACAGGCTTTGATGTGACAACCGAAGCAATCATTAATGGCAGGGATAATTCTACTCAACAAATTTCAATGGCCAAAGATCCAGGTTTGGCGGGTGTCACAACAACACCAGCGGAATTATCACCACCTTCAATTTCCACAACAAGTACTGAATCGACGACGACTAGTACACTTTCTACTAGTACTTATTCTACTAGTACACTTTTTACTAGTTCAATTTCTAGTTCATCTTTAACTACTAGCGGAATATCTTCACCAATAACTTTTCCAACTCCAACAACATCCACGACAACCCAGTCACCGAATTGCGACGAAGGACAGTGCCAGGAATATGCGTGTACGGTTCCCCAGGATGAAAGTACAACGATATCACTGCCCTACGAGATGATTCTGAAGTTTAAGGATCTAAAAAGCAATACGGTTGAGGTCGCTATGAGCGATTGTGAGTCCCCCCAGATGAGGGTAATCTACTTCACCGACGACTCATCAATCGGATCCCTAGATCAAGAGAGTCTGGAAGTAATGTTGAGTAATATAACAGTTGGTTTGAACTGCGGAACACCCCATATTTACTGTGTTATGCTGGGCGGGAAAGTATCCGATACGCCGGAGTGTCTTCCCCACAGGACAATGATATGTGAGGTGTATTCTTTGCAAACAGAATCCTGGTTCGATGCTAACGGCGGTCTGGTAATTGGATTGGGAGTGGTGGTTATTTTGATAAGCAGCCTCCTCGGAATGCTGATATTTTACGGCACCCTCCGGTGGAAACCCTCCCTATTGAGAAGAACTAAGCTCCAGAATGGTCCTTCACGAGATTCGAATACTGTGGTTCTTATTCCCCAGGAATCTGAAAAGAACCAGTACGGCATTGCGAGGTAATTTGTCAGTTTTAAATTTAGCAATAAGCTTTCTCTCTCGCTCTAATTAATTGCTATTAATGTTATTAATAGTTTGTCGATTCATTTTTATTCTCAAATATCTATCTATACACTTATCTAATCAGATCCCCGATTTCAACGCTGGATAATAACGAATACATAGTCGCTTATCATCGATATCTCGAACGGGCGAATCTCCAGCAAATGGAGTCAAATAAATACATAACTCCGCCCAGGGAAAGGGCTCCATCCGTACCGCCGTCTTGTGACAGTTCCTCCCATCTTCCGCTCCCACTTCCGCTTCCGGCCAGGAACGTGTACGAGAGTCTCGATCTTTACGAGGAACTGCCATAGAGCCATTAGTTTCGAATACATAAATAAATAAATCTGTTGCGGCGTGAAGATTCGGAATGTTATTCTGCGTTGAACTTTTGAAAATGTACAATATTTACTATGAGTTATTCTTCAAATAGTGTTCACTGGCTGACATACATATGCAATAATAAAATGTGACTTCCTATAGATATCCGAATAATTCCAATTAATAAATATTATGATTCTTTGCTTACTTCTCATTCTGTTATTATGCAAATAAAACACCATACCTTTTCAAAGGATATGTATTTAGTGACAAAATTCGGTCATTTAAAAAGATCATTGACTATAAAAAAATTGATTAAACAGAGGAGAATGACAACCCATTAAATATGACATGTGTACTCCGTACTCTATTTGCATCTAATCTAATAAAACTGGAATCCATGTCTGGATTCTGTGAAAGCTGCCACAGTTCAATGCTTTTATTTAGCTTTAATGAGCTCCAGTTAGCGATGAGGGCGCAAAAAACTCCATCTGAATGCGAACCATTGTGGAGCCTGGCATTTGCCCTTCCTGGGGACTCCGAGATGTACTCGTGGAGCACAGTTTGTTGACTTGCCACATGCACAATAAAATATTTTTGTAAGCGCTTTTTATGGCTGACATATCTCTTAATACCCACACACTCGTACGCACAACAGCCAGATCTCTTTTTGCGAGCGTTTTGCCAATTTATTTGCGCCCCCCGTTCCAGCTCGGATGTTTGGCTTGGTTTTATTTTTCGGTGCCCTGCAGGCTGTCGCTGCCATAATTTCCCAGGCACATCCCCAGCTAAGCGAGGGAACGGGGCAGGGGAGGGGAGGGGCCAGATGGAGGGCGGCGAGGGAGGGACTCTGTCAAAGTCCGGCCAAGTCTCTCGGCCATATGTTGCACACATTATGCTTACTTAACAATTAGAGACGCTCTTGTAATTCCACAAAATTGCTTTGTTCGCTTGGATTTTGTTTTTTTCTCTCTCTCTCTCTCTCTCTCTCTCTCTCTTTCGCTCCAAGGGAGGCTGGCTACTTTTGGGGAAGGGGGAGAAACGTTGCCAGTACTGTATGCTATATGCTATATGCCACTTCGGGGGCGGGAACAGGGAAGGAAGTGCCACAGAGTGGCTTTTGTGCTTGTTCCTTTCAGAGCTCTTTGGTCACTGAGCTGTGAATGGTTATGAGCTTTAAATCCGAGGAAAATGCTTTGATAGCCAGGCTGCAGTTATGTGTGGGAACGGAAACTAGTCAGGGGATTGCTCGAAGAAAAGTAAGACCTGAGTTTTCCGGTAACCAGAAATCGGGCTTTCTTATTGAGCCTTCCCGAAAATTGCTTAATTACAACAAATAATCCTTGGATTAAACACAAACGATTCCAAGGAAATATATTCAGGCAAAAAGAGCAAGGGTTGTTAACAAAATTAAGCATCTAAATATATTACTTATAAAAGTGAAATTATTATTTGTATTTTTTTGAGCATTTTGATTATTATTCATATATTGAGTCCCGTTTCCACAGTGCACGGAGCTACATAATAATTGCAAAATAAAAAAAGGAAGGAAGCTAACTTCGGCACGCCGAAGTTTATATACCCTTGCAGATAGAACAATATTAATTATATATATTTATGTTAAAAAAAACAATGATCAATCATTTCATTCACCTATACATATTATATTTCCAGTTTTACATTCACAGATTTACTTTTTGTTCCACATCTAACGATCGTTTGTATGGCACCTATATGATATAGTCGTCTGATTTTCATAAAATTTGACACAAAATTTAAGACTGATATAAAATGGCTATATCTCAAATTTGATGAAAATCTGTTGAAAACTGAAAACGTTATAATTTGTAATTAAATTATTTTCTCGATCGTTCCTATGGGAGCTATATGATATAGTAGTCCGATTTTCATAAAATTTAACACCAAATTGTAGAATAATATTAAATAGGTTTATCTCAAATTTGATTTAATTCTGTTGAAAACTGAAAATGTTATAATTTTTGTTGTAAAAATTTTCCGATCATTCCTATGGCAGCTATATGATATAGTCGTCCGATCCATCCCGTTCCGACATATATACGAGTGAGCATATATAGAGGACTATCTACAATGTTTCATTCAGATAGCTTCAAAACTGAGAGACTAGTTTGCGTAGAAACGGACAGACGGACATGGCTAGATCGACTTGGCTGTTGATCCTGATCAAGAATATATGTATATACTTTATATGGTCGGAGGTGCTTCCTTCAGTGCGTTGCAAACTTCTGACTGAAATTATGATACCCTGCAAGGGTATAAAAAACACCCATGGACTAGCATTGCAATGTTTGTATATCTAACACAAAGTTGGAATTGAAAACATCTAAAATTAGAACATCAAGTGCAAACCAATAGTAGGCGTTATTCACCTAGTTATAATAATGTCTTTGGCAAGACAAATCACAAAGAATGGTTGGTATTATAATACATTAAGTTTCCAATAATTATTAAGGCACAGAAGACCAAAAAGACTTAAATCAAAAGACTTTTAATCAATTAAATTGTTAATACAAAATATTAAATATTAAATTAAATTAAAAATATATTAAATCATTGAATGTAAAATTCAGTACAAGTCCGTTAGTAAGAAATAATGAAAACTCTTGTCAGCTGGCTGATTGACTTACGAAAAGTATGATGCGATTAGATCGTCATCCGTAATGAATGCTCAAGTGGCACATAGTGTTTTCCCAGAAGACGAAACCCTACTCCTCACAGTTCACTTCATTGGCGGCGCTGAGAGGGGACGGGACTTCCCATTATCTCAAGTGTGAGGCGAGGGAAACCCTAGACGGTGTCACAGCCGAATGCATCTGGACAATCCCACATGTGGGCAACTGGATCGAGGCGATATCCGTCGCGATTGATATTAATGATTTGCAGCAGAGGCCACTGAGTTGTTTTGTACCTTTTTCATCATCAGGAAACTGGGAAAACTCTCCGATTGCATGGCCTGGAGCGGAGGCGTCCCTTCAGACAGACTTACACAGGAGGTAAGGCATGGTACGAATGCCTACCCTCGCTGGGAAACCCCATGGTGGCTCTGGCTTCGAAATCAAAGACCCTTTCGCTCATTTCCCATTTTCCATTTGGGCACTGATAACGGACACGAACCAACACGGCCCCGTAACGTGGCATTTGTTTAATGGATTAAAAATAATAGGTACGAGCGGGGAGCGGGAAAGCAGGAAAAGCGGGCCCAGTGCAGATAAAAATCGCAGCACGTTTTGTGTGCGCAGGGAAAATGGGAAATGTGCCGCGGCGTGTCATAAATTAATTTTTGTAAATTCTGCAGCCTGTCTGATTCGGTTGCGGATCGGTATCGGCTTTATCCCGGCCCCGAGACAGGGATTCTTATTAATAATAATAACAATGCCACACGGCTTTGACGGACAGACAAAGGATTTCCCCGGACCTTGTGGGTGGGTGGACGCGCTCTATGGAAACCACTTTCATTTCGGGCCTTCAAGGGTTGAAAGGGCCCCGTCCCCTTGCTCCCCCGCTCGGCTGCGGTTGTCAGGCTCTCGGCCCGAGAGAGGCTTTTAAAAAATTATGCAAAAATCATGATTAGGCAATTTCCCGATGCTGGAATGGAACGGCCTGCGGGTTGTGTCTCCCGGCAGCTAATTAGCCATTCATGGAGTGTAGTGAGCTGTCGGGGGAATATTTAAACAGTTGGCTGCTTCCCAGAAAGCGGCGGCAAAAGTTTAATTAGTCCGGGCGAATGAATGTGCCTTATGAATATGAAATCCGCACACAAATCTATTCAGCCCCGATCAGACGCACTCGTATCCTTGAGAAGTTCAGTTTGGTTCAGTTCTCTTCAGTTCGGTCGAGTTGAGTTGCGACTAATGAGCCCGCGCAGAATTGGCGCGAAGCTAAACAAAAACGACGCACAAAATGTAGCAATTATGGGGCGGGACGGAGAAAACTCACATTAATGACAAAAGCCAGCCAAGTACTCGGCGCACGAGGAGAGGCTGCTTAAGACCCGCAACAAACGAGGGGCACTTAAAAGATGAAACATAAAACGGAGCCCCAGAAGCCCATAAAAAACACATTGTGCCGGGGCCGCACTTGAAAGGCGAGTTCTTGCCAAACCCCTCGCCCTGTGCGTCCTTTACACTTAAAAACATTGCATTTCTATTCATCATATGTTCTCGGCATATGATTCTTTTCAACGTTTCCATTTGCATTTGAAATCCAGAGCTATCTGATTGCCTTTAAGTATAGGTATTGTAATACAAACAAGAGCAGTCCAAGTCATACCAGATAATTCTACTGAATCCTTGAAACCGGTTTTACGCAAATCAGATAATCAACTTGGAAGTTATTATTATTATTAAATGTCTCTGTATGTTGATCTTCTGCAACATATTCATTTGTGTTGACAGAACCAATGTTACGCAATATATGCCTAGCATCATTTCCCTTGATTTTTCTTCTGCCATCCGTCCTTATTAATTGAAGTATTTTATAAATTCGAACATAATTAGAAAACTTGAGCTAGCCATCTTCATGCTTTATTTATTTTTACTCAACTAAAGCTGTTCAATCTAGAGTTACAGAAGTATAAGAAATGATTTTTATACTGTATTACCAGTAAACATTTGTACATGGTAACAATATTGAAAGACCTACAGAACAAAAAACCTCATATCCTTGTAAATACTTTTTGCACTCCTATCAAATGCCAATATATCAAATACAACTCGCTGTTTAAGGTCGAAGCTCTCCTTTTTCATTTTATTCCAATTCCAGGGTTATATCCTCAGTGTAGCCCTGTCATATGGGACAAAGAAGCAGTTGCTTTGTGCTCGTCGGAAGGGGCTGTCATAAAATTGCAGCATAAAAATAAAAATTAAACCACTAAACGCAGTCCAAACGCGACCGACTTGCGTCCAGGCCCTGACTTTTAAGTCCTCCGTTCGTCCTCCCCCAGAAATCGATTTGACTCTGGGCTGCTGGCTCGACAGTTCGAGAAGCGACCCCAAGGGCAGGACCTCACGTTCGCCC